AAAAGGAGAAGGAGCGGTATTTGGGTACARGCTTTCAACTGGCATAGAAAAGAATATTGGAAGCAGAGATTCTTACCCAAGGATTTAAAAGGCATGATCAAAATTAAGTAATTACTTCTGAGCATGTATTAAACATACAACAGCTCTGTTATTTTCTTAAATATCAGGCTCAAAAGAGGCTGCATTTTTCAATTGTTTATGGCACACTGTTGCTCACATATGATTTTCTTAAGCCTTTTTTTTTTTTTTTTTTTTTTTTTTTTTTTTTTTTTATTTTTTTTTTTTTTTTTTTTTTTTTTACTTTCATTGAAGCATATTCATTATAACATTCAGCGAATTTATGGCTTCTTCCAGTGGCTTAGTAAAAGGGGTCATAAAAAAGTTAAGTAAACCAGTATGTTTTTTCCTCTCCCTTAACTTTGGATTCCTTTTTTGTACTGTGCTGTCTAGTGCTTAGTCTTTGGAAAGTACCTTAGGCATATCCAGCACACACACAAATTATCAGCTGCTCCAGGAAAAAAATAAAACTGAATTTCTTGCACTGAGGCAACTACACAAAAGACTTGCATATGTCAAAAATACAGAACTAAGTCCCTGTGAATGCTGCACCATTAATCAAATCCCCGATCTGGTGTCACTTTTGCCAGTAAAATGATTATATTCTTCTAACCCCCTTCTACTGGCGCGTGCCTGCAATGCATGAAGTGTGTCCCTCTACTTTAATTTGTTTTCAAATAGCCTGCTTTAGGCATTTTTTATATATCCTTTGGAAAAAAAAAAAAAAAAAAAAAGGAAAAAAGAAAAGAAGAGAAATAAGCTGCTACTTAAAGCTCCAACAAGGGTCTACAGTACTGAACAAGCAACAGCTTTTTGAGAAGGAGGGCAGACAGCAAGAAAATTTAACTGATGTTCAGGAGCTGAACACACAACTGCCTCTGAGGCTGCAACTGTGAGTGCCGAGAAATGGTGTGCAGCCTGCCCAGATACATTTTAAGAAAGTAAATAAACACCGAGGAGGAAGGTGCTATAGTAGGAGCGGCTGAATGAATCATGCATTTATCAATGCATGAAGTTATTGATGCTTTTTCCCTCCCTCATTAAAAAGATATATACATATAAAGCCATCTACAGACGATGCTGGTGCTTCACCGAGTGCTTTAGTGGCATTACTAACTTTACAGCGGGTGGATAAACCCCAGCCACTCTTTATTTTTCCACACACTTTCTCTGGACGCTACCGAAAGGAGACTAAATACAACCAACAACTGCACTGCAACCCTAGAGAACCCGAGCTGCAACCAAAGAGTTGGAAATGCTCTGGCCTGGAGGTTGAGAGCCATTTTGGGGTAGCAGGTCTCTCAAAGGAGACTTTTCCACCAGGCTTCGACCTGGGGGACTGGGAAGGGTGGGAGGCAGAGGAGGGAGYGAGAGGAAGGGTAGCGTGGGTGTGCGCGCACTTGGTGGGCACGGGTGAAGGGGAGGGGGAGAGAGGGATAGCTGTTTCTCTTGATAGAAGTTAACAGTCATGCAGTGGAAGGAAAGCCGCAGTATGTGAAGTCTGAGGTTTTGGGAGGGGAGAAGGGAAGGTTTTCCCCATGGCTGTTTAACACTAGCATCAGAAGGGGCCTAGGCGCTGTACTGTTCAGCTTACCGGTCTGTCAAATGAGCTGGCTKCTGTCTATATGCTTCCAACTAGCTCAATTCAAACATTAAATGAAGTAAAGAAATCATCAGATAAATTGCTGGTCCTCTCTACTCCCTCAAGAGTGAAGGGTTTTTGTACAGCTGATGACAGCCCTGATCCTTTGTCTGACCTAATTTACTTCTCTTGAAGGTTAGAATAAAGCGCACTTTCCTGTCACAGGATAACCTCCRTCCACATATTGTACCCTAAAAATAAGAAGGTGCTGCTGCTATGTTAACAGTGCCATAATTTGATGGACTTTATCAGGATGGGTGAAACAGGCATCCAAAGCTGCCTGTGTGTACACCACTAAATTATATGTTTGGGCAGGAAAGCGTCCTGCTAAAGTCCATCCACGACACACAAGCTGGCTGCAGCAGAGAACAGCACAAGCCCGTCGGAGAAGCCTGTGAGCTGCTCAGCAGCAACTTCTACATGACAGATATTATTTTGTGTTTATTTCTCTAGGAAAAGAAAAAATTAGCTTATTTTCATTTGCAGGAACTGCAGATTGTTTGCTCTAAGGACCCGAGGATCAAAGTATGGTAAACTATCTCATATCAAATCCTCTCGGCAGGGRTACATGTGGCTTTCTGATATGTAATCTAAGCCAATTTCTGTACATGTGTGTCTGCTTTGTTGCTGCACATATCTTGTCCTATAACTCCAGCTTCTTCACTCTGTGTTTTCACATTCACTGGAAAAAACATATGGATCTCTGTGGGTTCCTCCCGCTCCCTGCCACGCAAGAGCTCACTCATGTACAGGTATCATTACCCCATCACTATCTGACAACAACAAATTGAGAATTTAAACATTGTCTGTTGACAATAAAAAGCGCCGTTGAAAACTAATTTTAATTAAAAACTCCTGTCCGCCCGAGTCAATTAATCAGCCGCGATTTAGTTAAAAATAGATTTGTCTCGCTGTCAGCCTCTCTCGGCTAGCTCTATATAGATCTTCGCATGAAAATCAATACTACAACTTTCCGCCGAGCACATCTCGCAGCACGGTGCGCGCCGGGCGCGGCGGTGCGGGCTCCGGCGGCGCATCCCGCGCGTCCCGCGGCGGGGCCGGCGCGGCCATCGCACGGGCTGGGAGCTCCCCCTAGTCGCCAACCCCCGCCACTGGCGGCCGGGGCACACGGCAGGCTCCGGCAGCCAGAGAAGTTTATTTTGGAAAGTATTTTCCATCAACAAACAACACAAAGAGCAAGGGAATCCAGGTAGAAAATGTGGGAGGCGAGCTAACATCGTGTGCGAGGCACATTTGAAGCAGACATATTTGCTCGCAGCGAGCTCAGCCCTGGGAAGAGCAGCTGAAGTCTGCCAGAGTCCATAACTGATATCAAAAAATTTTACTACTTCTTCAAGCGCATAATCCTCTAAGTCGTAATTATTGCCAAATATGACACAAGATAACATTTTTTTCTGCAGAGAAACACACATTTTGTGCAAAACAAGGGCTCTCACCATTCCTATTAAAGRCAGCCAGTTTATAAAATCTTGAAGAGTTTTATTTTGCAGTATTTAAATAAGCCTGACAAAATATGCTCTGCATCTTCCGAGCAGCAAAAAATGCAAAATGGTTTCTCACCCACTGTATATCTATTTAAACCACTGGACACACCAACCAAAAAGGGCAGAACAACCCACGGCCACAACCTAGTTCCTCTGCACCAGTTTTTAAAAAATATTTTAAAAGACAATAAACTATGAAAATGTGCCAGTATTTTTTTATTTTTCTTGTAAGTCCAATACAAGTATATTCAAATGAAAAACAACCTAGGAGTCAACAGCATACAACCTTTTTTTTTTTTCTCTCTGCCCTATTTAAACATATGTAATGTCTTTTTAAAGAACGTTAAGCTTTTCTGTGCACAACCATGCAGGTATTATGAAAAAGTCATCCATCCTTAAAATAATWGTAATTTCCTCTCTAATTCTTCAGTCACAGCTTACATTCTCTTTGTATTAGGGTTGATTACAATGGTGTGGGTTTTCTTCTGCAGGGAAAGTGCGTTAATTGCACTAAATCTAAATTCATTTTAAGAGAAGCTGCTTGAAGCAATTTGCAAAACTTTGACATGCAAAAAATCATAGGGGTTTTTGTTATGATTTTTAATGACTAGTACAAAACAAAGTGATACAGGAAATTATTGCTCATCCTAGGAAACCTGTTGACCAGGTACTGAAGAGCTGCCTTGGGAAACCGTGTTCTCCACCTGGAATTGTATGATTTTACTATGCCTTTCCCTCTCTGTCTTTGCTATTGCTCTACAGAAGTATTCTTGTTTTGCTGCCTTCTGCAAAAATGCTACCAGCGAGCTTTTCACATGCTGTTGCCTTTCACATTTCCTTCAAATGCAAAATGCGGAGCTAGTTTGAAAACAGATTTCTTAAGTTAAAAATGGAAGATCTTAAGCTGGAAAATCAGCAGTTTGAATCAAACAAAAATAACGTTTCTTTGCACAGAGCAGCTCAACACCTCAGCTTCCTCTTCTCTACATAATCGGTTCTTTTGCATTGTCCACCCATTTAAATGAACTTGGATACAGAGTTTACTCTGTCCACCACCAGCGAAGAAAGGTCCAGAGTTGCTGTTTTCTCTCCATGTGTTTCACCCCTTTTTTTGTCCTGCACATGCACCCTTTACAAGAGGCAAGGACAGGCAGGCCACTCTCGTTTTGCAGTCTTAAAGACCACTGTACTAATGAGATGCTGCAACTCTGGAGCACAACTACATTGCACTTTCACTCCTTTTTGAGTTTGTCTTACACTCATGATCTAAATCTTTTTCCAAACACCAAGTGCATGAAACCAAATAAACTCCAGCTGAACAGTCAGTGTCAGAAAACCCTTCTCTCTCTCCCCATCTCTCTCCCCCATCCSTCTTTTCTTGCCTGGCAAAGACCTCCAATCCACTCTCCTGGCAGATGCCAGAAAGGGAGATGGGGGAAAAAGCCCAAGCGAAACACGACATAAACGCAAGATTTCTGAAAACAGTATCAATTCACCCTGGCTTTGGGGGCTTGGCTTGGGGTTGACTCTATTTTATAAGTGCTTTGGTTTCCTTTTCTGTTGCCCGCTACTTTCCAAACTCCCCTTTAGAGAGGACACTCTGCCTGGCCGCTTTTCCCCCATGAATGACACTTCCCAAGGAGTGCAGAGGCTGCGACCTCCTCTCCTGCAAGCCTGCAGCTGAGGCTCAGACCGGTGCGCTGAAATGCCTGCGCTCCTGCTCCCCAGCCCCAACCCCAGCCCGACGCATCTCCCTCCCGCCCCCCCCGCCTCCCACCACCTCCTCCCCTGGATACCTTCATTTTTTTTTCTGCCACTGTTCAGTATGCAGCCTGATTTCTCCGCCAGCTTCCTCAGGATGGAGAGATAGATAAATACAAGAGGGGAGGGAGGGAAGCTCGTACTGCTCTGCTCTCCATTCCTCCCCCAGCCTTCCCGCTAAACCCATTGTATACGCAGCTCCTCGGCACCTTTGAATGCTCTCCTGCCTCATTATTTACGTTCAAGTAAAGCGATCGGAAAAGGAGATCAAATTGGAACAACAAACCTACCTGGTTCTCTTCTCCATCCCACCTCCCCACCCCCCCACC